TCAATCATGTTTCGAGGTATGAACGCGCGTAATGTCGCGCGGAAGTTACGCTCGCGATATGCCGATGGCAACTTGATCGAATTCTGGGCTGAATCCGTTCTGGCGAAGATGCACAAAAAGATTACAGCTCACCTTCCCCTCCCCCCCGCCCCCGGTCAGTCGTAGAGAAATCACGATCTGTCGGATCGGGGGCGGAAATTCAGCGCGAGTCCTCCGTAAACACTCGACGACGAGTGAAACTTCGTCGTCGGCGGAGAAATAAAGAACTGCGAAATTCCGAAAAGTTTCTCGTCTTTATGCCGGAATACCAACTACCCGATGTACTCATGCACGCTCGCCGCACCGAATGAAATCGATTCGATCGGGATGAAACATCCATAAAATACGAGAGAATACGCGAGCTCCCCTTTTTCGCTGTTCTCCTCCTCTGTTTTCTCTCGCGGACTCCGCTCGAGAAAACCGGCGAATTCTCGCGACACAACCGATTCTCGCTTGTCCGACCCGTTCCTGTAAGTCTCGCAGGAGTTCCTTTCTTCTCACAGGCCACTGTCGCTTTATATTCATTCCAGAGTACCGTCCCGAGAAAGACAACGGTAACTGGACGTGTGTGGCCGGACTTATGGGTAAGAACGATCAAGTGCAGGAAGCCTGGGACCATATCAACGTATATGAGATATCCTCATCATTAAATACGTCAGAGATATCCTCATCATTAAATACGTCAGAGATATCCTCATCATTAAATACGTCAGAGTTATTAGCGTCACACTGATAATTCTTGTCGTCATTGGCTATGCTTTGAGACGATACAAAGTCCGTCGATCTTTGCCGAAAAAGTCGCCAGCTTATAACATGCATATTATCCTCCGAAATCGCTTCGAAAGCTCAAGGAATATTAATATTGGGAATATTAATAATAGGAAAGATAAGTGTTAGTAGTAATAATAAACAATATAACTATAGCGTTGTTTATGCTGCTTCAAAAGTTAAAGATAAGAAATAATGCTTAATTTATAAAGAAGAATTAATAATTAGAATAATTAATGGTTAGATTAGACTAAAGAGTCGATTAAATTAATTTTTAAGTTGTGTTGATTGATTGATAAAACAAATATATGCATGTGAAACTGTTTTTTATGTTTTTTTTTATATATGTATTACGTTGAACAAAATTATTGCTTTATATTTTAGCTAGCTATATTAAATCTGTCATTTAGAAATTTGATTGCAACGTTTAATTCATTTCAGAAAAATAATTTATACTTGTTTAAATAATTTTTCTACGTATAATAAAGGACGTGAAATAATATATTATTTTGATAAATCAAGATATATTTTTTTTAATTGTTAATCACTAATTAGATATATTTCAAGACAAAATTTCTTTCAAATCTCTCAAATCGTTAGAATTATATTGCAAAGTAAAATTAATAATTAAACGTCTCCGTAAGACGCAATCGTATAAACAATATCTTTTCAAGGATTTTTTATATATTAAATGCGTCCTTACTAGATTTAAATTAGATACAAAAGTTCTGATTCAGTTTCTACTTAGTTTGGAATCAATTCGCGAAAACTTCGTGAAAGTTCACCGTTGTGCGGACATGTAACTGTAAACTCATTTCTGGACTTTAATTCTCGAAATCGATTTCGATCTGGAACTGTTCGGAACGCTCGTTTTGGCAAATTAGGCGCATTAGGCTGGCTTTTCAAACGTCCATCTCGGCGAGCTCGTGCAGCACACCGCTGGACGACTCGCGAGACAGGCTTTTATGTCCACACACGCTACTTTCCTGGAGTCATTAGTCGCTGGACGCGATCCCTTTTCAAGATTCATCGGTTTGCTACCAGAAGATTCGTCCGGTACCATCAAAGTTTCTTCCGTTCGTCCTCAAGCCGGAGTATCCGCGAGACTCAAAAGAATCTCAATATTGATCCCGATTCCCCGCTTATATCTGACAGCCTCAACGAATCAAAGTCCGTCCTGTAATTGGAAACGGCAGCGGCTCGTTCGACTGGAAGATTCACGACTGAATTGCCGTAGGAACACAATTTATGATGGCGCGCGCGGAAGGCGGAAAGAAAAGGGGCGGCTATCTTGCCGCCGCGCCGGTGTAACTTTGATATTCCGTTCTTGAGCGAGGGAAGATATGCTAACGATCTGTAAAGAGCCACGGCGCGCAAGCTGAACGGAGATTCAGGCTTCGTCAAGGCTGGATAAATCGTGAGTGAGATTAATCGCCGCGTTGTTGCGGTCGCGCAATCAATATACAACTTCCGATCTGTGCACCAAACTGCAGTTTGCAAAAGAAAACTTAAACATAGTATAAGTACTGAAAACAAGTAAATAATTTAATTTAAAAAATTGTTTAAACTTTAAAAGCTATTTTTTCTTTTTACAAAACGATATTTTTAATAAATTTGTAGTATAATATTAATATTAATATTTTAGAGGAAAATTAATACCAATAATTATCATTTTATGGAATAATTATAAATATCAGTATAATATTAATTATAATGTGTTAGTGTAATGTTAAATTGATGGATTATATATTCTCTCGATAAAAAGTTTATAAAGTAATTTTTTCATCGAACACGCAAAGTATCACATTTTTCGGCATTGATATTTTATATTATACATGAAGCGAAGTCTGCAGTTGTTAAATGAAATAAAAATTTACATATACTATTACATTTTTGCTGCGCATTGTTGAAACTATTTTTATTACTTGTGTTCGGCTTTTAATCTTGATCTTATAAAACGATGTTAAGGAAGGTTTAGTCTGAAAGATTATTGTGAGAAGACGATAAGAGAGAAAAGACGAAAACAACTGTCGGAAAATAAATATAACTGCGATAAATCTGAGCGTCGGAGTGAATTTGTCCATCGGCGAGCGAATCGCAGAGCCGAGGAAAAAATAATTTCAATGCAGACTGCTGTTGACAGTTTTCGTTCGTTAAGAACTGAATTTGTAAGCACTCGATTTCGCAAAACTCGATTTTCTTGTCGAGGCCCGGGGGAAAAAAAATAGGACGGCGCTCGTTCTCTTTTTCGCGCGCGACGACGATTTCGGAGTGACGGAATTATTTCCGCTCGCAGCTAGCCGATAACGAGTTATTGAACTCGAAAGATGGAAATTGTTGTTCGCCGTTCGCAAAGACTGACGTCGAGATACACAAACGGAACGACGCGCCGATAAATGCGAAATGCAGTCATCGATTCTAAGGCGACCCGAAATTAATTAACTCTTTCGGAGACAGCAAAAGCTTTATACGCTAAATACGGTTTATTATTTTAAATTCATTTTTTTAATCAACAAAATCATCTTCTATATTAATCAAAAACTCTCGTTAGAATCAAACGTTTTGAATCGCATTACTCTTAACATTGATATCTCATATTTCACAGCATCAAGCGAGGAAAAAAATAATGGAAAAAATAACGAAAACTGAAAGTAATTGATTCGATTATATCATATATTTTTTATGTTAAAATAATGCGTTATTATATATTCATTTTTCATACTGGATTATGCAGGCGGATATAAAGAGCAAAGTGTGCAAGCTCGGACATTTTTACCTTCCATCATTTTTTGCGTTACTCATCAACGTTTTCATGTCACATATCGGTTTATGTACTCGAAAATATCAAAGGTGTTCATTAACGTTCACATTAATAACGCAATTTATATGTAAAATCTCGAAGGAACATATCAAAGGCAAACAAAATTCCTCAGCAAGTCAAACGTTTTTCCCTGCTTTACGTTCATTAGTTACGTATTATCGCGATGAATCGATACACTCGTTTATTCACGAGGCAGAAAGAGACTTCTCGGTTTTAAAAAGCAACGTTTGGATTTAATCCCAGAGTATATGAAGAGCTTATTTGCGCGAAAAACACATTATGTGACATTTGATTCGGTTAACAAGATGGATTAACATGCGAATTGACAATAGCAAATTTTAAAAATATCGTCGCGAAGTTCTCATGACGGTCTCGAAAATTATATTCATTTTATCTAAAATGCATTTATTTATAATAAAGTAATTGAATATTTAAGCGAGATTATCTGCACACAGAATTACATAGATAAATTCATTAGATAAATGAATTTAAATATAATTTTACATTTAATATATAAATATTTATTTTACATGTCGTAAATACTTCGTTTTAATGGAGAAATAGTGTTTTACTATTTATATTCCACTGCTTATAACTTCCGTAATGATGCTTAAAAGTATTTAAAACACTGGCTATAAAGTATCGTCCAATGCTAAAGTTCTTTTTCTACATGGTTGACTTAAGCAGATCTTTTCCACGCCATAAAAAATAAATTATAGTGCTCTATGTCAACCGTTCAGCGCAAAAGTACTTAACCTTCTGTTTTGTAGCCAGTTATAAATTATATCTCTATTAGTATTAATAAGCCAACATAGAAAGGATAGACTTGTGCATACATTGGTAAACTAAATCTGTACGATAAATGCTTGCAGCGATCAGATAATTGTCATATTGAACGACATTAAATTATAAATTTTTAAATCAAATTTTAAAACTATGATATTAATTAATCATCAAATTTTATTAGTTCAAAAATTCAAACGGTAGCAAAAACGTTTTACATAATATTTGCAAGCGATTTAATGATAATAAATACAAATGTATTTTGCGTTGATTATTAATGATGAAAATTAGAGACATAAAGACAGTATGATTACTTAAGTTTAGTAAACAGATTTATTATTCACTTGATTTATTAAATATATGCTTCTTTTTGAGACTAAAACATAATATAACAACGAAAACAATATTTTCATTTAGCAAAAAAGTTCGATTATCTCTGCAGCTGACAAGCTACAATCTCTCGTTAACTCGATTCCGTATTAACTCGAAATGGAGTTTCCACGTCTCCGAGTTTACCGCAACGTAAGGCCGTTCAGTTCTATCCCCCCTCACGCACGTTCACGTGTACACCTCTCCCCGTCTCCTCCTCTCTACCGCGTGCAATAATATTCCATTTGCGCGTACGACGATTATGCGAGCGCAGACAATCAACGCGCGCGCGCGCGCGCGTGCAGCCTCCTCCTGCGGACGATTATCCTCCGTGCTTCGTGGACCGTAGCTCGTTCTCTCTCCCTCCTTCTCTCGATCGTCCTCGTTCTATCCTCCGAGATTCTCATTCGCGTGCGTATCTCCTCGCGCCGCAATAACAGCGGCGCCGCGTGGCGCGGGATAATAATAAGGAAGGATAAAGCGCCGAGTGTGTGCGAAACTTCCACCGGCGAGAACCAATTAGAGACAGATTGCTCAGGAATCTGACAGTCGGCTGAGAGTTACACGGCTTTGTTACGTAAATCCATCGTCGCGGCGCGAGGAATGGCGATAGGCGACGCGAGCGGAGCGCCGATGGTGAAGAAACTTTCATTCGCAAATGATCTGCGATTCTCCGCGAAACTGTGCCGCTCGAGCTGGACCAAACCGAGCTAGATCCGAGAGACAAGGAGATTATTATTCTCTCCTCGGAATTTTATTTCATTGTTTTCGCGTACGGAAGCATTGCTGGAGCGAGAATTGAAATTGTCGAGAGTATTTGCAGCAAGAGCGTGTACTACAGCGATGATGTAACGATCGTTCGTTGACTCAAGATAATAGGTCTTGGTGTATGTATGTGTAGCGTGTGTGTGTGTGTGTGTGTGTGTATGTGTGTGTATTTGTGTTATATAAAATTTGCGGAAATGTTGGAACACGTTGCACGAACGCTTGCGTTGGTATTGACATGTGCGTATGAAAGCAAGACTCCATCAAGATAACATTATTAATTTAATTAAGATATTGTTATTTATCTCTGTATCTCTTATTTTTTAAATTATTGATCACTTGAATCATAATTATTTAAATTAGCAAATTTTATAAAAATTATGTAAAATATTCCATCTCTAAAATCTATATCTAAGAATTGAAATCCAGTTAGAGATTATATTTGCATTAATCTTGATAAGAATTATAAAGCGATAAAGCGATAAAGCGATAAAGCGATTTATGAAAAATTTAATCAAAAGTAATTCAAAGAACAACACGGAAGAATAGCAAGACGTTAAATTTTGTTGCAACGAAAACGGCATATCCTGTATGCGATTCTATCCAGTTATAGAACCGTCGAGTTCCAGATTGCGGGCAGCAAAAATAACACGGGGTAGCAGCAAGAGATTGCTGGCGTTCTAGTAATTTCGCGGGATTAATATTTAATAACCGGAAGGGAAGCAAACAAGGGCGAGCACCTTTTCCCTTCTTTCTTCCCTTCATTTTCCCGAACAGATCAGATTTCTGCAACTCTCTTCCTTCCAGTTGATCCCTCTCTTGTCGGCAACGTTATCTCCAACAAGGGCTGACATATGCATCCATTTCGCTACCATCCCGGGGCGATGCAACCCTTGACCCACTGTTCTAGACGGTCCGTAGAAACAATGAAACAATCTGACGGCTTCTCATTTCGTCGCCGGCTTCTCCGATGAGAAAGCAAAACCCTGCTCGCAGAAATATCATACACGACGTGCTGTTCGCCCTCTCGTTTCGTGTACGTTGCCACAATCGCGATGAGTTTCCGTTCGACCATCGCCGAACATTATTGCGGAAACGTTGCGGCGGATATTGAAACACTGCCGTGCGATGTATGACTGTCGTGGCTTAGCTGAGGAGAATATCGGCCGTGATATTATTACACTACCATCTCGAGAATATGGAGAACGAACAGAACAATCTCTTGTGACTCTCTTGTATTATTAAAATAATTATGCATTTCTAGAACAGATGTCAGATAAGTCAGGAAGAGTCTTTAAAATGGTACGGTATCGCTTTATATAGTTTTTGACTTCATACTAGATAAAAGAGCATCTCAAAAATATTCTGATCTTAAATAACTACTGGCTTACGAATCCTGACAAAAATTTTTAGGACAGACGCATATTGTATCATGAGAGTGTACTGAAATAAACACAAACTTCTGTCATACTAAAAGAAAATCGTGAGACATCAATAACGTCAATTTAATATTTTAAAACTCTTAAAATAGAAGCTCTTAAAGTAATGAAATTGTTATAATATTATTTATTTAAATCTACATCTCTGTATTTCAATGTCCAATGCCTATAGATTTTTCTTTTATCATTTTGATACACGCACTTATACGAGATTTATTTAAATATTACATTACACAAGCACAAAAGATTTCTAAATCAGTTAACCAACTTAAAGAAGCATTACGAAATGTCAATGTTAAAATTTTCACAAAAACCTCATTTGTTT